ATCTTAGATAAACAGTTATATTGGTTTGACGATCCTATTAAAAATGCCCGAATAATCAAATATCAAGCATTTCTGGATTTATGGAGGGAAATTGGTATATATATTCGTTTTTACGTGTTCCTGGTGCAAGTCATTTTATTTTTCAGAGTGGACTCAAAATGTCTGACTGGCGGCTATTTTGTTTTAATGATTGGGCTTCTAGAGCCATATCTCTGACATGATTTGATTTTGTTTTAATGTATGCTGTTCCAGAGCTATATCGCTCAATATGGACAAGTACTCCTTTGATGATCTCATAAAAATGTCAATCATTTTAATGTTAAACAATCATCATAATCATATTCCTAAAATGTTTATATATATCTTAAATTCGATAACTTACAGGGACTGTGCCATTCATGGCTTGTTATTTTCTTTTGTTATTTTGTTTTCACTTGCCGTATAGATATAGTTAACAATATAGTTATTGCTTCCCAGACACACCCATTGCAGTGAATAAAACACGGAATGAACAGTCAAGAGCAAATGAAGGGGAAACAGGAGAATTACGATGTCAGATTAATAGCAACCCTATCTCTACACTACAGTGGTTTCGTCCAAATGGATCTGTACTAACTAACAATGACAAAATTACAATATCTAATTCTACACACGGAACATTACATGAAAGCATAATTACAATTACTAAAACTGAATCTGATGATTATGGTAACTACACATGTTTTGCTGAAAGTGACTTTGCAAATACAACATTTATTGTAATATTCAAAGGAATAAGTAAGTATTTCTCATTTGACAATTATATCTACATTGTACATTTCAAATTGGAACAAATAAGAAATAACCGTCTTAGAGAAGAGTATACCACAAGCTGGTCGATGACACACAACAAAGTGATGCAGTTTCAGACATTTACTATCATTTAGCGGAGATTTATATTGCTAAACATTATCCTCGAGATTTAATCCCTGTCACTGTTTTTTTGGAAATATTGTTTTCACTGGACAATTACTAACGTATTCCAGGGGTACACTACAAATGAAACACTAGCACTGCCACTGAATGTATTCAGATTGGGAGTCATATTTAGAGCATCAAATGTATGATGTATCTGTATTTTAAACCTACCTCTAATCAAATCGCAATTTCCAGTCTTCAATACACATTGGTGAAAACACATCATATGAATCTCATCAAAAGTATTTGTAATTTGCTGCCTCTTTAGCCTAATGTAATGCTATCATATTTGTTCTATTAGTAGCACATATGCACTTGCGTGAATTAAATCTACTTTTCAACAGTCAAAATAAGTAATATTTTAATGAGTCAGTGTACAGCCAATGGAATGTTTGGTTTGTATGCACTTATATTGGAGATGCACTTCTAATAGAACAAATTCAGTACCATGTTGTGCACAGTTTTATCACTTTGACAATGCTTGGTAGATGACACCTATTTCTTCATGCATCAAATTATATCTGTTAACACCAGGGATACCATGACTGTGAATTTGGTTGGGGACACGCAGACAACTCTGTATAAATGATGTTAACTCAGCAAAAACTGTCATTCATTGATTTGATTTGTTTGTTTTTCTAATAAACAGGTAGTCCATATCCAGTGTCAGGTATTGAGTTATCCCCATCCCATAATACTATAAATGTTACATGGATTCCTGGATTTAATGGAGGCGAATCACAGTCATTTTATGTAGAATACTGGGTATCACCAAATGGAGAGAAACAATTAACAGAGGAAACAACAAGCAACAAACTAACAATTGATGAACTACTACCACTGACAGAATATAATATTATTGTCGTCAGTAAAAATATAATAGGAGAAAGTAGAAGTCAAACACAGTTTATAATTACTCAAGGTGAGATTAAAATTATTTTTTATGCAAATAACCACTAAGTATTGTCTTTGTTGGTGTACTTTTGTCGTACATCCCTTATCAAATGTCAGAACATAATTTAATACAACAAGTGTTTTCAGTAGAATTTTTTTTTTTCAAATTGAATGATGTTGGGGTGAAAATGCAAATTCAGAGCTAATCAGTAGAAAATATATTATTTTGTTAACCATGAAACTTCGTATGATTTACATAAAATAAAGTTGATTTTTGTTGTTGAAAAAAAATCACGTTTGTTGTTGTAGCGCTATTGTGGGCGCTCAGTAATGTGATTGTATTTCAGCCACGTGATAAGTTGTTACGATGTAAATAAAGGACGTGATGTTAACGTGACGCACATATTTTAAATGAGGAATACATGCGTTCGTATTACCATACGACGTTTTGTGGGAGGATGAATTATAATTTGTCGGTGTTAGATGTATACAAAGAACGCAAAGTTACTCTATTTTGGGTGATTAGGATTCCTTTATTTGTATTTCATTTGAGAATATCAACAAGTGTACAAAATAAAGAAGATTGTGTTGTGTATTCGGAAATGACAAAAAGTTAATTTTGATAAAAAAATGTCATATGAACATAAGTCTCGTCTTTAAAATGTATACAGCAACTGTGATCTTAACAATGTGGGCAAGTATTTTTACTATTTCTAATCTATTGAAGCATGTAAATACATACGCCAATATTTCATGTACATTTTCATCTATTGTTATAAATATATTTGTTTGCGCTCTCGTTGGGGGCATCATTCAGAACACACGGTATAAAACACGCCATTCATTTAGAGTGTATCAAAGAATGGTAACACTATAGTGAACTTACGATAATGTTTATCGTTGTTCGAAATACCTTTGGTAAACAGTAACCAATCACGTGACACATCCTTGAATATTAAATGTATATTTTTTTCTAATAATGAAAAAGACGTGTTATAGCTATTCCATATTATTTAACATGATAGAAATGTATATTTTTCAGCTAAGCCATCAAGCCGTGTTGATGGCAGTAATCCAAAATATACTAACGCTGCAGTATACGTCGTGCCAAGTGTTATCCTTATTTTGTTGGCGATTACGATAGCTACCTGTTATAATATTTTTGAAAAGAAAACGTCAATATAGAAAAAACGCAGGTAGGCAAAATGGAATTAGCTTGATACAATCAGTGTACTATTATGTTTATTTCTACTATGGTCATGCCAGTTAAAAATTCATAATAAGCATAGTATGATTATTATACTTCACAACAAAACATAACTGAGAGTATTTTTCTCGGCAGACGACACGGTTATGGTTGAGAGAAGATACGAAAATGTGGCTGGAGGTGAGTCTATTATTAACTTGTATGTTAATAGACTATTAGTTAATTCGTTAATTTTCTTCTTCTATATACTTTTAGAATATTATCTTTTCTTTGTATTTATAATAATATCTTCCCTATTTGATAATTTTGTCTTG